GACTATCCATATTTAGGTCAAAAATAAGAAAAACAATTAGAATACAAATGTAAGGATTGAACGGCATTTTTTCAGTGTTCATACTGGTATGAACGCAAATCGGTTACATACATATTTACCGGGCTTCGTGGAATATGTATGTAATCTATTTGCGTTCATACCGGCATGAAATTGAAAAAGTTTTACGAATTATCAGAGTTCAAACCTATTACGGTGAATCATGCGGTAGAGGTTTGAACGGAACTGTGTTTCATACTAACATAAATGTTAAAATGATGCAAATCAATCCTTTGGAGAAGACGTTGATATATTTGTGCTTCGCTTTTTTGTAATATTATTTTATGTGTTATTTTTCAACTTTTGCGAAATAATAAAAAAACAAGATATATATATATATATACATATACCTATAGCGAACTATTATGTGACGTCGTAGTTTATGACGTCACAAAAATACTTCAAATAAACAGACTGAAGAATCTCCTAGAAGAGATGAAAGTACTAAAGACTGGTTGTTAAGAATTGTTCTTTTTACAATATATATATATATATATATATATATGGAAGACCCGGCTATTTCCGTTAGAAGAGGGTTGCCGTGGATTCCCAGTCCAGTGTGTGGGGAAGACGTTCCACGCGCTTGGAATACGCGGCAAAGACCGACAGAAGGTAGTCAGGGTCTTGGGAGAGCAAGCCGAGAGAGCATCATGCTGGATATGGCACCGGCGAGAGGACAATGAGTGGAAGTCGCACAACGACATCATCACTGTGGACCCGCCAACTGTAGGATTTCATGATTTTGAAGGGTCGACACATTCAGCGACGGTTGGTAATCACCTGAAGATGCCAAAGTGGCGACCTACACTCCCAAACCAGACGCGGGCCAGAAACCAGATATAAAGTTCCGGTATGCAGCAACGGATCGCGGAGTCCGTGAAGAGGCGACAACACCAGATGTCAGACGAGACTGAAGGGAATATCGCAAAAATCTATACTGGGTTCTCTACTTTTTAACATTTTTGTAAATGACATGTCTTCATACGTTAAACCATCTAAACTGTACAATTATGCTAAAGACGATACTGTGAGTGACAGAGACCCTCAAGAATAACAACAAATGTAGAAATGGATTGGTTTAAATCAAATCATATGAGGACTTATCCTGAACAATTTTAAGCTGTATGCTTAGGATAGAGATCTGCTGTTGCTTTTTCTCTTATTGGAAATGTAAACATTTAGCCTGAAACAGTAGTTAAACTCCTCGGAGTCAATTTAACCCTATGTTAAATTTGGATTTCGAACTTTGAACATTGTTAAAAAAGCTTCCCGACAACTAGCTGTTCTGAAACGCTTAGGATTTTTTAACGGAAAGAAAGTCTACATGAGTGTGTCTCAAAGTCTAACTGCTGCCAAAGACGTATATATTACGTGATGTGTGTTATGTCTCTTTTAGATTAATTTAACGTGTTTTAGGGGTTTAGATCGACTTCCGGTAAAAATGTCACCCAGTGATTATAAAACATGTATAATTACTCTGAACACCTGGCAGTATAGTTTAATTGTATACCCACGAATATACGTGAACAACCAATTTATGTCTAGGTTCGATCAAACTGTCACTGTCACGATTAAATATGAATAATATGATAGTTGAAAATATTTGTTTCGTTGAAATTTTGCTTTAGATGTCGACTGAAATCGGGATAGGAAAATGAAAATGGCCCTTCCCCACTTCATGATTTTTTTTTCCATTTCACTTTAACACTAAAATGTTAGTCAATTTGTGCGGAATTATCAAATATTTTTCTCCCTAATGTGTATTGAAATATATGAAAATGTGTACCGTTCTGAGGCATTATTTGCCTACTCCATTCAACAACAATTAAAATATATTTTTTACAACATCTTTATAGATAATTATACAGATTCGTCACTCAGATATTGCTTGAAGTAATTACCTAAAACCCAAGCAAATATTGCTTCATATTCTATGCATTTAATTGCAGAAATGAAACAGGTTCCCAAATTTCCACTCATCGCTATATATAGCTAGCTTCAAATTATACGTGAAATTCAAACTCGAATGAGGAAAGAATTCTGCCGGGATCGCTCTAGTTGGTGATATTCAACTCATCTAGGCTTCACAACTTTGGTTTTGCGTTTGTTTTAAAACACAATTTTCATAAACAGGAACTGGATTAGTTCAAAATTGGAAGGTTTATCATGAAAAAAGCGTGTCACAAGTAAACTCATCATAAGTTCTTGGATCCGCCCCTGAAGATATATTTTTTTTATAAAAAAAGGCTGCGAAACAAATGTTCATGTTGGTATTTTAAACTATTCAATAAATGTCATATCAATAATCATCGCCACCATTACTGCAAAACTAATAAACCTTTAAAATTCAGAAATTACACCAAAAGACCTAAATAAAGACAAATAAAGACATCAATTCTCCGAAAGAGAAGATATACATTCAATCAATACATTCCTGAATCAAGGAAATATAATTCCGTACCTGCATCAACTACATTCAATGTACACTGTAACTTTTAGCTGAGAGATAGTGATACACAGTTTACACACCTAAATATCTCACCTGTGAATTAACAGGTATGTTAATTACCCGGATTTCTTACACTTAATACATGTACTATAGCCAAAGGGCATCTACGATACCTAACTATGAATTAACAGGTGAACTAATTACCTTAGAGGTATTACCCCCTGTGAATGTCATGGCCAAAGGGCATTTCTAACCGATCTTCCAACTAACACAGGTAGTTTTTGCCTCCAGTGTTGGAAGGAAAAATTGTTGTAAGTATTAGAGTAAATTTCAACAGCGTTTAACTGTATTTTACATGCGTTTTTACCTTAGGTTATTAACCTGGACCGAAAACTGTCGAAGATAATAATGTAAAAATGTATGTGTATCAAATAAATTAATATAAGGTGTTTTTTATGAAATTTGTGAATTCTGAAGTTTTATCAATTTTGTTGTAATGGTGGTGATGATATGACATTTATATTTTAGCAGTGTTTTAGCAAAAATACAGCTTCAGTGGCGGGTCCAAAAACTCGCGATGAGTTTACTTGTGGCACACTATTTTCAGGGAAACCCTCAGGTTAACCTTCCAATTTTAGCATAAAGCTGAACTAGTCAAGTTCCTGTTATTACAGGTTTCGCATAATTCTACAAAATGTAAAAAATCTTGGTCAAAACCCTCTTTAGGTCCAAATCAGATACATATAAAGGCATTATGTAGTATACTGAACAAAAAAAGAAACGCACAATTAAATTATGCAATCAATAGCCTATGATATTTTGGGAAATTTGAACAAAAATTTATATCAATATGAAGGGACAAGTCTACTCTTTACAATACTGCAGAGGAAAAGTCTGTAAGACGTCACTCGTGTCATCAGTAGTTACTCAAAGTGGGATACCCGCGAAAAACAAAATGACAGTTCAGTACCTGGTGTGGGCACCTGCACGAATCCCTGCACGGATTCTCCTATGCATTGAATTTATGAGAACATTTATTAGCCTTAAGGGAATGTTGTTCCATTCTTGTGTTAATGCTGCGATCAACTGGGTGCGGTTAGTTAGGGGTTTTGACGTTTCCTAATACGCCTGTCCAGCTCATCCCACAGATGCTAAATGGGAGACATGTCGGGGCTATATGGGGGCCATTCCAGAGGCTGCACGTTGTTTGCCGTGCGAAAATCACGACAGACTCTGGCAACATGCGGTCGAGCATTGTCTTGCTGGAAAATTATGTTATGACGTCTGAGAAGTGGAAGGACATGTGGTTGGAGGATCTGGTCTCTGCATCGAACGGCACTGAGGATTTGATCCAGGACCAGTAAGGGGGATTTTACTCCATGGGAGATGCCTCCCCAAACCATTACATAAGCCCCACCGAATATATCGCGTACAACCACGCATGCGTCGGCGAAACGCTCACCGCGTCTGCGATATACCCTTTTGCTTCCGTCTGAGCGATACAGACAGAATCTAGACTCGTCCGTGAACATCACACGCCTCCATCGACGCTCCCCAAACCTATTCGGGCCATGTCTGCGCATCCAGTCAAGACGCACTTGCCGCCTCCGTGGTGTCAGAGGTGGCTCGACATAAGGTCGGCGCGCAATGATTCTCTCGGCACGCAAGCGGTGCCTGGCAGTTTGAGGACTTGTGGGTCTGCAATGAGTACATAAGGTATGCGAGGCAGCCTCTACAACAGTCTTGAATCGGTTGCGCAAGTGCGACAATCGAATCGCCCTGTCTTGTCGTGCGGTCGTTACACGCGGACGACCGCTCCTGGGACGACGACCGCTCCTGGGACGATCGGAAACTAACCCAGTAGTACGGAAACGTGTACAGAGACGGTTAATTGTACACGGACCAACACCAAACTGCCGTGCGACAGCAATTTGGCTATGACCATCCATCAACATCGCAATTGCTCTACCCCTCTGAATTTGCGTTAAGCATGGCATCTCAGTCAACGTGGAAAATTAATGTGGCTGAACTTAGAGTATCCGTTGAGATTATTTGTTTGATTTGAACTAAAGAAGCTCACAAAGTCACACAATGCCATCGTCCATTGGCTGATTTTAGGTAGATTGTTGAGAAGGGAGATCGTTCTTGATGTAATACTGACCAAATATTCCATTATTTCCTTACAGCTAAGGTGTACTGCAGGGGAAGGGGGGGGGGGGCGACTTTGTGTGTTGGTTTTTTTTGTTCAGCATATATATATACGTCTCTGTCCAAATATAGCTGTAACAAATGATCAGGTCTCTATGTGTATGAGGAAAAATAACATAACTATCATAACTTTCATGACAAAATGGGAAAATATATGAATAAATAATGAGAATAAAGACGTTACGGGTCTTGTCAAAAAATTCTCTAGTTTTGTCTTCAAATGGACAAGGATCTTTAAAAAGTACAGCGACTTTAAAATTGATATTATTTCCGGTACCGGTGGCGCATGAGCAGAAACAGTCCACTGACTCCACGTTGAGAGCTCGCCGGGTTGACAGCGAAAATGGTGTTAGACATTGAATTATTCCGTTCTGATAAGGGCGGTGATCCCGATAAGATTCGGGAAAACCAAGCAAAACGATTTAAGGACGTAACTTTGGTCGACAAGGTGGTGGAATTCGACACGCAATGGAGGAAATGTAAGTGAACTGAAACTTGACACAAGGCCGGGTCCAGCTGTCGGACGGTAATCGACAGGTCGGGATGTCGGCTACAAAAGGATGTATTTTATACGCGATTAAAAAAGAAGATAATAAATATACTGCGATTGATTCTACATATAAGCGACATGTCAACAATTAATTTAATTGCTGTTTGTTTGTTGTTTATAAACTACAACAAGATGATGATGCAATCTGACGCTAAAATCTGACACATAAAGTCATTCATAACATGGGGAAATAGTTTTGTTTTATTCTATTTCCCGTGTACGGCAACTGTCATCTTACTATTAATAATGTAAAAGTTAAAATGCACAATGATTTCTGTGCGAACACTTCTAAGATAACTTACATATATTCCTTTTTGTGTGCTTTCTTTTAATATACTACCTGCAAATGAGTTTAATAATGACTATGACTTGCCTGACTTGATGATGCAATAGTTCAGATGCTTATGTGTTTGAAGCTCAGCTGATTTTCATATTACAGACGGGATTGCATCACTAAAATGTGGCATCTCTTAATTAAGTTTGTACTTTGGAATCATTATTTTTAGGATATCACTGCTCAAAATGAGCCAAATAATGCATTTTGATGGTTGAAATAGGTAAAACAAATCATTTTTTATGTTTTCTTCTTACATAGCGTTTTGCTTTTTTGCAGTGAGATACAGAGCAGACCTGTTAAACAAACTAAAGAATATGTGCAGCAAAGTTATAGGAGAAAAAATGAAGGTTGGTGTTAAAAAAGACTGAAACTATCCCAGAAATGATTCTTTTGTAATTCAAAATCAAATATGTAATTTTGAAGTGTTTGTTTCACCACAAATATCTAAGTAATACCGCCATTATTATTTTTTTCAGGCTAGTATTATTATAAATATAATGCTATTTAACTGCATATTCATATTTAAAAAAAATCTCTTTACAAATTTTCAGGAAACAAGTACGTTTCTTAAGGTGATCTGTTAGGATATTATTTTGTTTATGTACCATGGTACATGTACTATCAAAATCCATAAGTGGTTAAAATGCATTGACCTTTTTTAATCTTATAAAATCATTTATCATTTCATGAAGAACAAATTCAATATCATATTCAAGGTCAGACAAAAAAATATGTGTTTTCTGTAACATGTTGGAAAAATTAAGTATAGGTAGATAGATAACAAGTTTTATTTAAAAGAATGATTTTATGTGGTTCAAGTAGCAGAGTGGTCTTGACTTAAACAGTACTTCCTTGAAAATTATCTAAAAAAGTTTAGGATAGGCAGTAGGCACAAAAGAATAGGGTAGGTAGTATAGGGTTATACCAGAAACACGAAATATTTTTTGTTTGGCCTTAAATGAATTGTCTTGTTTGCATCTTGCAGAAAAAGGAGGACCAAGGTAAGGACACTACACTACCGCAGGAGATAAAGGACGATATAGACAATCTTAAGCCAGAACAAATGGCGGTGAGTAGCTTACTTGGTAGTACTGATATTACATATTAAATCAGATCTTTGGTGTGGTATTGTGGCAGAACTGGGCTGGGTGCATTTTCCCCACTCCTTTTACAACTTATATTCACAACGTCCGCACAATTATATGACTTGAAAGTGGTCAAAGTGTACATGTATATAATATATATATATATATATATGGGGCAAAGAAGTAATTCCAACAGTGTGGACAAGTTTAGGTTGTCAAATTTTCGGAGCAATCCGCTCCTTTATGAAGATACATTGAAACAGAATATATATATATTTATATCAATTTTATTGGAACAGATATTTCAAAGTAAAAGAAAATAGGAAAGAGATTCAGTTCTGTTTGTATGAAAATAGAAAAAAAAGGTATACATGTAGCAAGTAATAGTAGCCTTTTATGGGAAGCTAGAGTACAGAAAGTACAATGGGGTTTATCACTTTATACATAAACCAATATTTAAATATTTTGGTCTTTTCGAGAATTGTTTTTGATGTAACTGATGTCCATGCTTGATAGGAAGCCTCCACATGATGATAGTAGGGATCTGTTTGTAGGGTCTGACTGTCACACAGATCAAGCAGGTACGGATCCTGATTGACGACAACATCAAGGAAAACGATGCTGGACTACTAAAGAGTGAGGCCGAGAGGAATGAGGCCCTAAAGGAAATGGGCAACCATCTACATCCTAGTGTCATTGTCAGTAATGATGAGGTAGGCACGATTCTCTTGACAAATCATCTCGGAGATGATGGGGTAGGCAAGATTCTCTGACAAATCATCTCAGAGATGATGGGGTAGGAAAAGGTTCCCCGCCAAATCATCTCAGAGATGATGGGGTAGGAAAGGTTCCCCGACAAATCATCTCAGAGATGATGTGGTAGGAAAAGTTCCACGACAAATCATCTCAGAGATGATGGGGTAGGAAAGGTTCCCCGACAAATCATCTCAGAGATGATGGGGGAGGAAAAGGTTCCTTGACAAATCATCTCAGAGATGATGGGGTAGGCAAGATTCTCTGACAAATCATCTCAGAGATGATGGGGTAGGAAAGGTTCCCCGACAAATCATCTCAGAGATGATGTGGTAGGAAAAGTTCCACGACAAATCATCTCAGAGATGATGGGGTAGGCAATTTTCTCTGGCAAATCATCTCAGAGATGATGGGGTAGGAAAAGGTTTCCCGACAAATCATCTCGGAGATGATGTGGTAGGAAAAGTTCCCCGACAAATCATCTCAGAGATGATGGGGTAGGCAATATTCTCTGTCAAATGATCTCAGAGATGATGGGGTAGGCAAGATTCTCTTCAAATGATCTCGGAGATGATGGGGTAGGCAAGATTCTCTGGCAAATGATCTCAGAGATGATGGGGTAGGCAAGATTCTCTGACAAATGATCTCAGAGATGATGGGGTAGGAAAAGGTTCCCCGACAAATCATCTCGGAGATGATGGGGTAGGAAAGATTCTCTGACAAATCATCTCAGAGATGATGTGGTAGGAAAAGTTCCCCGACAAATCATCTCAGAGATGATGGGGCAGGCAAGATTCTCTGGCAAATGATCTCAGAGATGACGGGGTAGGAAGTGGTTCCCCGACAAATAATCTCAGAGATGATGGGGTAGGCAAGATTCTCTGGCAAATGATCTCAGAGATGACGGGGTAGGAAATGGTTCCCCGACAAATGGTCGTAAATTTATCATGATTTGGGTAGGCAAGATACTTTAACAAGTGCATTTATAATGATGAGTTGGGAAAGATTCTCTACGAATTAAAGTTTCTCTTAGAATTAAAGACACAATGATTAGGTGGGAAAGATTCACTGATAATTAAACTCACAATGATGAGGTTGTTAAGATTATCTGGGAATTAAAATGTAAGTCATCATGATGAGGTGGGAACGATTCTGTGAGAAATAAGCTAATACTGATGTGGTGTGACAGATTCTCTGGGAATTAAAATGTTAACCCATTCTGATGAAGTGGGAAATATTCTGTGAGAAGTGAGGCAGAGCTAATATTGATGAGGTGGGACAGCATCCTTGGGCAAAAGGGACTTAATTTGTATAAACAGTGAGTGTGGCCCCCCTCGGAGCTAAGGAGTAGACCCAATATAGGAAACATAGCAAATTCTTCAAAATCCTTCTTCTGTAGGAATGACGGGATTTTGATTAAATTTGGGATGAAGCACCCTTGGGTGAAGGGGAATCAATTTTGTATAAATGGTGGGTCTGACCCCCTTTTGCAGGGCCAAAGAGGAAAAATAGCTTTTAAATCCTTCTTCTTCTGTAGGAATGACAGGATTATGTCCATATTTGGTCTAATCCTTAGGTGAAGGGGACCTAATTTTGTATCAACGATGGGTCTGACCCCCCTGGGGACAGAGGGGCGGCGCCCAATATAGGAAACAGCAAATTCTCCAAAATCCTCCTTTTACTTTAGGAATGACAAGATTTTGTCCAATTGCATATAAATATAACCACTGACTAATCATGCAACATCTTGCTATTCTAACTTTAATTTTGCTAATATTTCCAATGTTAAAATATGCATATTTTCAGTAATTTTTTCACGGGTTATGATTCAGGAAGATCACTTTTGCCTTGTGGAAGTTTCCTAATTTTAGAAATAACATTTAGTGTTAAAAGAATTTTGTTGTGTAGCAGCTTATCAATTTACTTAGTTAATTACTTTGATTCTCTGTCGGCTATAACTCTACACCCAATTGCAGTATGATACATGGTTTTGATATCCCCTATAGCACCATTTTATTCTGTATTTCTCTTTTCATTCACTTCCATTTCCACTTGTTCAGGATGAAAATGGTGTGGAGCGTACATTTGGGGACTGTGAGACAAGAAAGAAGTACTCCCATGTAGATCTCGTAGTTATGGTTGATGGAGTAGACAGCGATCGAGGGGCAGTGACGGCCGGGGGACGTGGCTACTACCTCAAGGTGAACAGCAATGGCTGAGGGGCAAACACATGATTGTAAAATATTTGTACCACAATATTCTTCTCATTTGTGGATAAAATGAAGTTTTAATAAGAAACGAATCCTTTAACTTTTGCTGACAAGGTTGGTGTGAGTTTTATGCAGATCTTTATTTATCTTATTTTGGGGCCAACATTTTGCCCCATTCTTGATGGAAATGTGGAGCACTATTATTTCCAAAACATCTCAACAAAATTTCCTTATCCCAAAAAAACACCATTCCCATTTCTCAGCTTGTTTTATGTATGACAACGCCACAGCTTCGTCTAAAATTAAAATATCTTTCATAAATAAAGAAGTTTCAATATTTTTAGGTCACTTGAGACTTTGTCTCAAGTGACCTATTGCGATCGCCTTTTGTCCGTCGTCGTCCGTCGTGCGTCTGTAAACAATTTACAGTTTCAACTTCTTCCCCAAAACCCCTGAACCAATTTCAATGAAATTTTGCAGGGACCTTCCATGGACAAAGGTCAACAAAAACAGTTGCCGGTTTAGTCCTAAGCCCCCAGGGGCCTGAGGGGCGGGGCAAAAAAGGGTCAAATTGACTAAAATTTCAAAAATCTTCTTCTCCAAAACCCCTGAACCAATTTCAATGAAATTTTGCAGGGACCTTCCATGGACAAAGGTCAACAAAA